TCTGGCTATTTCAAGGGGGAGTGATCTACTAAACATGGAGCACTGTTATCATATAAAAGTATTCTCTTCTAGCACTCCTAGAAGTGCTTATTTTCCTCCTGTTTATTAAAAGGATGCATAGGACATAGAAGCCACCAGACCAGGCATTCTGGGAAAGAAAAACATAAAAAATTGACTGGCCAACTCAGAAGAATGTTTAAAATCAGATAATTTAGAAAGTTACTAAACATCAAGAAGGAATGAATTTTACTCTGCAGATTTGCAAGCACAGGAGCAACCATCTAAAGCAGGAGTTAACAAATTACAGTCCACAAGCCAAATCCAGTGTGCTGCATGTTCTTTTGTGGCTTGGGGGCTGTGAATGATGTTTTAGATTTTAAATGGTTGAAAACATAAAAAGGAAAATAGTATTTAATGGCATGTAAAAATTAAATGAAATTCAAATTTCAGGGCCTATAAAGTTTTATTGGAATATAGCCACTCCTATGAGTTTACATATTGTCTAGGGCTGCTTTCACACTTTCACAAAGGCAGAGTTGAATAGTGGAGTCAAAAACCATATGGACCATAAAGCCATAAATATACAGAGATGGGCAAAAGTAGGTTTACAATAGTGAGTATACGAAACACAGAGTTTATTCTTGTATTATTCATTATTAATTATTTATTTGTACTACAACTTTTGTCCACCCCTGCATTTACTACCTGGCTTCTCACAGAAAAGGTTTTTCAACCCCTGATCGAAAGTCTGGCTGGCTATGACATTTAAGAAAACCAGAAACAAATAAAAGATAAGAGGAGCTTTGTGAGAAGATCTGTTGGATTTGTGCAATCAAGATCAGTCAACTCCTTGGCCAAAGATACCTGATTAAGCTTCTGTTGAAGCTGCAAGTAGATCCCCCTTGCATAGTTAACTTGCCTCTGTGAAAAGTTACCCAAAAAGCCAGAGAGTGAAGAGAACACTGAAGTGCACAAAAATTCTGTGCAAGATTCCAAACAAGAAGTAACATTCTGTTCCACATGAGTTGAGGTGGGAAAGAGTGGATTTAAAGGACAGAAAGAGTTCAATGAGGGTTCACTTACATTTCTTCCCTCACAAAAACCTGAGACAAGAGAGAGAATCAAAGCCATACTTACATAAAATTTGCCAAGGATACTAAATTGGGACATATTGTAAACATCAGTGAGGATGGTGTAATTCTTTGAGTTCCTGAATGTAAACTACAGTTTCAATTTATGATGTGTACCAAACAGTGCTCCATGTGTACAAAACAAATGGATGTACAATCTCCAAAGTTTTACTAGAAAATGTCTGAAAATAGTAAATTCTTGTGCACATAATGCACACGATGAATTAATTAACTCTCTTTGAAACATGATGAGGTAGAGATGGGGATTCATATCCTGATTTTCCAGATGAGAAAATGGAAGTTACCCAGCCATGGTCACAATGCCAGGGAAACAGAAATCTCAGACTTATGAGTTTTAACCCAATCTATCCACAGTGCACTCTCTCAGATGACTCTACCCCTATATAAAGATAGATTTTTAAGAGAATGGGAACTAGGATTTGCCATATACGAGGATAGCAAAATCAAAAGTACACACAGGTACAAATGAACATGTGTTTGCTGAAATAATTGAGATGATGTTTGTAATTTGCAAAATTGTCATGAATTTTAAGCTGGAAGAATATTTAAAATATCTAGTTTAAGTATTTTATTTTATAGATAAGGAAAACTGAGGTCCAAAGGGGGAAATTTCATATATGGGCCACAAAACTAAAGCCCCTTTGAGTCCTTACCCCTGCATAGAGATATAACTCTCCTTAGACTGCCTGTCTTTTTAGATAGCATCCAATATGGATTCCCCTTTCAACTCCTTGCTCATCCCACCCACTCTACCAGCTAGCTGATTCTCCTCATGACTGTTTCTAATTCACAAACCATCCCCTCAAGTTCCTGAGTGTATGCCCCCATGCACCCATGCACACACACACACATGCATGCATGCATGCACACATACACACAAATACTTTCACTAAGTTTCCATCAACCAGATTTTAGTGATTTTACCCCCAAGGCCTAGTACCATTATCTTTTACTTCAAAATGTTCAGATCCTTCCCTGACTAGCCTCACCCTCACCCCAAACTCCCAGTATTACTAACAATGAGAAAATGTGACACACTCTCCTCTTCTTTTGCCTCAACAGGAAAACCTGGCTATATTACAATTGACTCTGTGTGAAGCCTTGCACCAATGACAACATTAAAGCCTCATGCTTTATGAACTACCAAATCTAGAAATGGACTTCTGTCTGACATGCCAGGCTTTTAAGTCTTGTACCTGTGCCCAGTCCAGAGATTTCTGAAACCATGAATAAAGTGGTAATCAACACCATGAATACCCAGTCTGAGTTAACTAACAATGACAAAAAAGTGAGGAAGAGAAAGATTTGTGCTTCCACTCTCTCCAATACAGGTGGAAATCAATGTTGGAACCAGGCAGATTCAGAATCACCTGAGAAAGGACATCTGGACAATAAAGATGGATTTTAATAAAGGAGAAAAACAAACAAACCAATAAATGTTCTCAGAGGGTAATAAGACAGCCCCCTGTCTTCAAATAGAGATAATGATGGCAGTAAACTCCAGTCACCAAGCTTTACAGATGGGAGGAGATTGAAAACACCAATAATTTTTTCTTTGTTTTGTGTATGTTTTTTAAACCACCTTATCCTGTCCCTCAAAGGGCTCAGAACTGGAACATGGGGTCCACATCCAAAGGAAACAGGGGGCTTAGTAGTTTCGCAAGGAATCCATTGGTTATTTTTTTATATTTCAAACAGTCAATAGCATTTGACCCCATGAACTCATAATGGCACATTTTCTCAAAGAAAATATAACCAGGTTTCCCTAACTTAAGTGCTTTTAGGGTCTGGAACATTTGACACCTTGCTGGATTTCCAAGTGTTCTGTAAGTTGAGTGATTGCCCCTCCCCCTTCTCTTCCTTATTCTCAAATACATCAAATCCATGTCATAGCAGAGTTCGTCCCAAGCAGCCTTGCCAGCTGCCCTTTTGCCTGTCTCCCTCTTTCAGCCCTAACTTCTGCAGAAAGCTCCCAGGTGGAATATGTTATGACAGCAAAATCTTCCCTTCCACAGTATGTTTATTTCCCCGGTTTTCCACAACAGCATTATCATGACCCAGATTTGTAAAACCCAGAAGGAGCATTAATTACAATCTAATCTATCTATTGAATTTGCTTACTTACTTGAACTTTTTTGCCATCTGATATGACTGTTATTACTGTGGTGGCTGGCTTACTGACACACAAGCTATAGACAGGTACTCAGCTTCATTCTTTGCTCCATAAGCAGGACATAATGGATGACAGGATATGGAGAAGAGGCAGGCACTCACTGGGGTAGGGAGAGTAATCTGAAGTATTTTAAGCTGCTCCTCACTTCCTTTTTACTCCAAATCAAGGCCTTCCTTCTGTAAGTACTCTTAAGAAAGGAAGGCACTGCTTTCTGTGTCTCTTTCCAAACTACACAGGCCTAGACACTGGGGCCCTAGACGTTATACTAGCCCAGCATAAGCAGTAGCACTGGGCCACTCAGGAGTATGGATGAAATACACAGCATGTTTTCAGTAATACTGAATGCTACCTGTCTCCTTGTTGCTTTAGAGATTGCAAAAAAATAATAACAGCTGTCCATTTTATAGGTACCCCTGCCACCTGGCCAAAATGATGGAAATACAATCATCATTCCAACTGGCTATCAGTGGAGAGGCCTTTAAAGGACACACATTTGCTCTCTTTCTAGATGCCAAGAACTCTCTGGTTCCTCTGTGGGTGTCATCACATTCCTGGTGAAAGGTGTGGCTTTACTTAGCTCCACTTTCAAAACTATCTATAGGGTTTGTAGCCTTTACATAAGGAAAGACTGTCTGTTTGGGTTCTGGCATGGAATTCAACATTTTTAGGTCTAGTGACAGGGGGAAAAAGTCTCAGAAGAAAGTACTTCCTTGACAGAAAGTGGGAGAAGGAGTAGATACTGGTGTTTAGCAACTGAATCTGTTCCCTGAGCAGAGTGTCTGTTTACAGGCTGTTCATCACTGTTTCTTTGAGAAGGAAGCCATTAGAAGGATGGGGGAGTAAAGTGAATAAATGGCTTAGACCCAAATTGACTGAGAAGGAAGGAGGCACTAGCATATATAGACGGTCTGTAAATGGGAGTTCCCTCTATAGGATGTAGGCTGAGCACCTCTGGGGGCTGAGCAGACATGAATTGTTCTAAGCTAAATAAGATTAATGAGCCAGGTCTTCAGTCCATATAGCCAAATATAAGATGCAACTTAGCCTGGGACTCTGTACCAATGGACAGCCCTGAGAGCAGGTCTCTGGAGAGGAGAATAAAAGTGTTTCATCACTTTGGTTCCTTCTCTACCTAGGAACTATTAATGCAAAGGGGCATCAAGAAGGCAGCAGCAGGAGGGAGCAGGTGCATAGACTGATGGTCTGCTTAACAGTGAGAACACTTCTTTTCTGGGGCTGAGGCCAGGGAGACTTTACTAAGGAACAATCTTGTATTCATAACAAAGTACAGGCTGGGGACTCAGTTGGAGTATCTCTACTTCTAAATTCTCCAATAAGGACAAATGTTCCCCCACTAGCAGCAGAATGGAACACAAGCAGAGAGAAAATTAAATCTTTTCAAATCATTAATTTTTCTTTCATTTCTAGGACCCACCAAGTTCCAAGTACCAGCTGGGACCACCTTCATTGCCTACATTGCCTGTACTATCAATACTGTTGAAGCCAGCAGGCCAAATAAGAAAACTTGCTTCTTTAGGCTCTGAAAAACTTTGAGAGGGCCCTGCCAATGACCTCATCCCTGAGATGATTAAAATACAGGGCCCTGGAAAATTAGTGCCTCTCTCTAGAAGATAAAGGAAAAAGAACAATAGATATGGGTGTGCAAGACCCTTTACCTTCAGCAGCTCTTTTAAAGAAGACTTTGCAGCTTCCACAAGTGAGAGCTCCATAATGACAGCCAGAAGCTTCATCCCCACAGATCAAGCAGGTCTTCTGGGGTGGAAAGTAATAGTCGATGGGCAGAACATGTTCCCTGGCAGTCTCCAAACTGGAAAGACACAAGAGAAATAATGAAATACACATCAGTAGTTGGCAGAAATTTGAGGGTAGAAGTCTGAGATCTTGAAGAGTGAACTACATGTGTACATTATTATCATTCATTGCTTAATACAGTCAGTGTGGAGCTGCCTTTTTTGGGGGAATACTTCTAGAGATAATGTTTTCAGGGTTTCCTGTCACATGGACAGAGTCTTTATGGATCCTGTTAAGGAATTAGACAAGTTCTCTGGGATCAGCAATCTTATGGGCTATGTCTACATGAGGGAAAGATGAAGGCAGAAATATAAGGTTAAGGTATATAACTTAAGATGATGGTCAGGCAATAATTTCAGAGCAAATAAATGGTATGAAGCCAATCCTATGACCTTACCTTATCCAAAGGTAGAACTATGGCTAAACCAGATTAAACATCATAGCAGTCTTATGTCCTTGCCCTAGTCTCTCAGTTCCATTCTCATCTGCAAATAGGAATAATGTTACCCATACTTCTGAGCTACTGTTGTGAATGATTATATAAATTAGGCAAAAAGATAAAACTTCCTTGAAATACACAGAGAGGGATCATAAGTAGTTTTATCATAGAAGTCTTCTTTTGACTTTCCTCCCACTCCCTCACTTTCCTTAGGAGTCTCTATATATCACATGGATATGGCCCCAAACCCATTCTACCACATAAAGTAGCAGAATCCCTATGCATGAAGCTATTGTTGAGAAATGATGGACATTGATTCTCGAAATCTCTTAGGCTGCCATCTCAACACTTGGCCATTACAATACTCATTGGTTCCTTTGGCTAGGATGGAGCTTCAGTGGTCACCTAGTGTAACTGCCAAGAATATCCATCTCTGAGTCTTAGGTGGATGTGAAGAAGTGGGCCAGAAATCCAGTCCTAAAACTTAATGGAATGGGTAATTCTTATTTTCCCATAGTAATTAATTCAAGTGTAAACAAACAACATGGCTCCTACTATCCAAAGGTCATTTTTTTCTCTCCTACACATTAAACAAAACTTAAGTGACCTCTTGGGTTAATCTGCCTCAGGCAGACAATTTCCCATATTCTCATCTATAGGAATGCAGCCACTATTTTTCATGAGCACTTCTTTCTTACTAAGGAAGGAATGTAAGTCCTAATGGCAGCCTGTTTGCCATGTGGGGGTGATTTCAACATCACAAAACAACTCTGTGAGAGTTTTTTCTCCTTATATCATATGAAGAAATTCAGACTCATAGAGGAGAAGTCCAGGATATTTGACACCAAGGCCTGGACTAGCTGACTTCAAATCCAACACAGTTTCCATTACCCTGTTGTATTCTCGCTACTCACCTTCACTTTCAACCCATGGTTCTTTGCTAATCATGCTCAGCACAGTCATCAGAATTTTTTTTTAAAAAAAGCAATAAAGGATTTCCTCCCTTCAATCTACCAATGAGCAGCCCTGGCAAGGAAGAAAGCTTTCACTCAGGCTACACTTGATAAGCATTTTATCTCTAAGACACAAATATTAGCCTTTATTCAAGGCCCAAGTACAACAAAAAGTACTCCCAAAGTTCTGAGGTTATGCAAATCCAGGAGCTGACTATGGTGGCCTGTATTTTCTCCTCATAAGCCTTCCTTTTCTCATCTTAGCTGGAAAGCCCGCAGGACTCTGTCCACCAAACCAAGACAAACAAGATGACAAAATCCACAGGAAAAGAGTTTCACTTTCCATATAAAAATGAGCCTAGTGCTAAGAAAGTTATTCCTTTGGCTAAAAATGTCATTTCTTTGAGTAAAAATTGTGTCCCCCATCCTTATTCATAAAACAAGGAGAAAAAGCAGTTTTCTCCTCTTCCTCCTCCTCCTCCTCCTCCTCCTCCTCCTCCTCCTCCTCCTCCTCCTCCTCTCCTCCTTCTTCTTTTTGGAAATGTCTTTACCTTCTTCCTACTTTTTTGACTTCTGTAGCTAATACATACCATTCAAATAAAATCAGAAGGTCATGCATTTAGGTGCCCTATGTGTTAGGCCATTTAATATACATAATACCATTTAATCTACCCACCGACTCTGTATCTTCCCTATATTGTAGGACAGGAAACTTATGCTCAGAAAACTTAAGTGAACTTGTGGATTTGTAACCAATAACTGACCATGTTATGAGATTGGAGGTTGAAATTAAACACATTGAATCAATTCAACTCATAGAACCTAGCTAGCCCAATGGACTAGGTACAGGGCTAGGTGCTGGGGATATAGCATTGACCAAGATATTATCTTTGACTCTAAACAACTTAATGTCTTATAGAAAAGAAAGATAGGAAGCAAGGAACTGAAAAATAACATAGTAGATGATATAATAGAGCAGAGTACAGATTGCTACAGATGAGAAATCACCTCAAAGACAGGAATGTTTTTTGAAAGGCATAAAAGTATATATGGGTAAATGGGATGATGATGATGATAGTGACATCATTATCAATTATTAGTATAAATTTTCAAAATAAAAATATATTTTAAGAAAGCAAAATACATATTAGATAAACAAAATGGAAACCTACATAAAGTAAATAAAAGGTACTTTTGGAAAGAGCCTTTAGGAAATAGAAATTTTCATCTATACTAAAATTTAAAATACAGTTCAAGCCCGACTGGCATGGCTCAGTGGTTGAGCATTGACCTTTGAACCAAGAGGACATGGTTCCATTCCTGGTCAGGGCACATGCCCAGGTGGCAGGCTCAATCCCCAGTGTAGTGGGCTCGATCCCCAGTGTGGCGGGCTCAATCCTCAGGGTGGGGCATGCAAGAGGCAGCCAAATCAGTGATTCTCTCTCACCATTGATGTTTCTATCTCTC